CAGTTCTGTTTTGTTATTTTGCTTTTTTTTGTACTTACAGCTGTTTTCTTCCAGTCAATCTCCAGGAATCCTTAAAATTATTTTAACTATATTCATCATATGATCTGTGTAAGCATGCAACAGGATTAATGTACATGTAGTCTACATTTTCAACATATGTAGTAGATTTCTCATTTTCCAGATAGTTTGTTTTTCAAGGTAGTTGGAGTCACTCACAAATGCATGAGAGAATCAAGAAAATCCAATGAAGTATAGAAAAGCCACAGGGACTGACAATATGCTGGCCCCATTGACCTAAAGAAATAAGACAGTGGTTAATGGGCTCTGGAGAATCTCTTAGACAGAAACTGTGGCATTTGGTAAAGGAATGAGATCTATATGTGCTGAGCCACCAGGGGCAAACACAGAATATGAAAACCTGAGTCAACTATCTTGCCCCAGTCTCACATTTTTAAACAATTCTTCCTGTTCTCTGAATCCAATGAGAAGCCATAGAGACAGGAATCTTACAGATGTGAGCTATAACAGCCAATCTCCAGACAGCACACAATATGGATGAGAAATCAGAAATATTATGTTGGATACAAATAATTCATGCCCAAAACTATAAAAAAATTATAAGCTTGGATTGTACTGTAGAATCCAGTTTATCTGGTACTTACCACCTGATACTTGTAACAAATATCTCACTCTCCAGTCTCTTGCTCAGACACTGTGTCTTCTCTCAAACATCAAAGACAATTATTCTTCATGAAGAGTCCTCACTCAATACCACTTACTCAATAAATTAGACAACATAAATACATAAAGAAGTAATTTACCATTGTCTATTGCTTTAACATAAATGAAATGTTTTCAGACCAATACATTCAGCTATATATGAATAGGTAAATTCATGTTCTAGAAAAAAGTTTACTTCAGTCCACTATGATTTAGCTTTTAAAATTCCCCCTCAGTTAAGACTGAGCACAACCCTTAAAATCTGCAAGCAGCCACAGAGGTGTGGTGTTTGACAAATCACCCCAACTAAAAGACACAAGCTCATGGTACTTATTTATTCATCTGTTCTGCTGAGGAAGGTTGCCAGCTCCTCCTTGTGCATGTCTCCTGGGAAAATGAGAGGAGAAATAATAAGGGCACCTTGAAGAAACAATGTAATTATACATAAAGTACTGTGGGTGCCGGTGAAAATTGAGATGATTTTGCCATCTCATGTGGAACTAGGAACAAGAGTCCTGCTTTCTCTGTCAGTGAAAGAAATATGAAACACAGTCTAGCACAGTTATATTTATCCATCTGGATCCTGGCATTTACATAAAGCCAAGGGATAAATGACTAATGGGTTTCCTCTCATGAAGACTAAATTCATGGTTTGGATATGCCCAGTACTCCAATTAGCTGAGCAAACTTTCCAGCAGCAAGTCCAAGTCAACAGACATAACTTTGCCAGGCATAACATGTCATTGATTTAGCGCTATTATGGCTGTTGTTCCTTCTCAACATCCACAAATCACCACTGCAACAAATGATATTCCCTCTACCCATCACTTAGAGGATGTGGAAATACAGAACCACACCATTCACACAGCTTGAGTTGCACTAGTTAACCCCTTTCAGTGTAGTTCTGCATCATACGTTGTTGCGCACCCTAAAACATGATCCATGGTTGAGGAACACAAATTGTCATGACACTTATTGTTTCTAGTTGTCTAATGTTCTTACCTCCTTCTCTAGAGAATAGCTCCTTGTTTGGCTTTATATAATAAAATCATTTCCATTCTCATTTCACACAGTTTAGTGTAGACTGAAACCATCTGTCTACTGCAGGAAAAGGCACCTTGGGCAGGCCTGGCCAGGTAGTGGATTCCAATCTTTTGATCCTGTACGTAAGGAAGAAGTGATCATTTGCTGCAAGCCAAGCTAATAAGCTTCTTTTTCAAGATTATATAAAATTATTGAACAAAAAAGCTCTTTCCTCTGAGGTTATTACCAAAAAGAGGGTAAAAATTCTAATGGTAAAAATGAAGAACGTTCTGAATCCAGCTATACCTGAACCTCTATCTACCTCTAGAATTTTTTTGAAATATTTTGTATTATTTTTATTTTGTGTGTATGAGTATATTACCTGCACTTAAGTGCACCATGTCATGCAGGGCCAGCCAGCAGAGGTGAGAAATGAGTGTAGGATCTCCTGGAACTGGAGTTACAGATGATTGTTAGCCACCATGTAGATGCTGGGAATTGAACCCAGATCCTCTGTAAGAGCAATTAATGCTCTTAACCACTGAGCCATCTCTCCAGTCCCTACCTCTAGAGTTTGAAGGACGTAAATCAATAAATTTTCTCCATTGCTCAAGCCAGTTGGGTTTGGGTTCTATTGCTTATAAGAAAAAACAGTGATTCTACTCAACACAAATGAGAAACACCAATTTGGAATCTGTCCAAAAATCTAAGGTCACTTCATTAGAATCCATTGCCTGTTCTCTCTGGGTCTCTTACATTATGTCATGATCACAATGGAGGTCATCTTTCTGGAAGAAAGTTAAGCCTTTATTTAGTTGTCAACACATTGATCACTGCCATTAAAGTCAGATTCAGACCCCAGCAATGCTTACTGGTGCTCACCAAAAGACACGCACCCCACCTCACCAGACCTCTAAGAGGACAATGATTCATTCTTCCACACAGAAATGGGATTGATAAAATGTTCTTTTTCAGCACCCTAGAACAACACTTTTCAAATGCATTACATATATTAATTTTTAAATGTTTTGCTATTGGCACATATTCATTGTGCATAGTACTAGCCTAAGCCAAACATCTAAATTATACTAATACATGATTCTTTGTGAGATAGGTTCTCGATGTGCAGCCTAGGCTAGCCTCAAGCTCACTCTGAGGTCCAAGTCAGTCTCAAAGTCCTAATCCTAGTACTTCAGCTTCCTGGGTGCTAGGATCACAGGTGTGTGCCATCACACCTGGCTTGAAATTGTTCTTAAATAAAATACCTGTAAACAATGGGCCTTACTAGATTTTGTGGTTTGGATTACTATTCAGAACCTACTCCCTTCCCTCGCCCTTCAACTATGGATAGGCTTGGCCATGTGAATTGATTTAGTCAAAAGAATATTAGTGGATAGGATGAAGCAGAGGCCTTAAGTATTTTTACACAACTCTGTTTGGGTTTTCAACTGCAGTAAAAAGCTGTAAAATTATGCCTTGGGTAGACACTGCTGCTTATATCTGGGCTTCAGAACAAACACATGTGGTTCAGACCTAAAGCGTATCCAACTAGACCCAAGCTAGGCCAACCTACAACTTAAAGTAAACCACCACCCAACCCATCATATCTAGCCTAATTAGGCAAAACACAGAAAATTGTAAGAATAAAGCACTTCTTCTAGGGTATTAAATGCAGGGTGATTTATTGCACAGCTTTATGGTGGCAGAGTTAATGGCTACACTATGTGTAACCACACTTCTATGATTCACATGCTGTCGCACTTCTCTTATTGTGGGTATGCTTCAAGAAGTATGTGATGTTGGGACTGAGTGATTGCTCAGTGGTTAAGAGCACTGGCTGCTCTTGCAGAGGACTGGGGTTCAGTTCCCAGCACCCACATGACAGCTAACAATAATCTGTAACTCCAGTTCCAGGGAATCCAATGCCTTCTTCTGATCTTCTAGGGCATTGCACATACATGCAGACAATACACTCATAAGCATAAAATAAAATAATAAATAAAATATTTTTTAAATTTAAAAGGGAAGCATACACAAGAGAAATAAAAACTGGGTCTAGAATAAGATCATTGAATATTAGCCCTAAACATGATATTGGACACAATTAGTCTAAGTAAGTAATCCTCAATCCAATTTACGCATGGTGAGAAGCCTTACCTCAGTCACAGGATTAAAATGATACAGCACCAGAGATCAAAAGAGTGTTCACTCCAGGCCTCACCATCTTTCCTCTTGGCCATCTTAACATCTCTTTATACTTTGCATGAACTTCTCACTTTGCTCATATTTGTAATCCTGGTTTTATCTCCTGGAATTCCTTTGGGATGGTCTTTTGGCAAAGTGCCGGACATTTGCAATGTTTTACTACCCTAGAAAGAACATAATGCCAATCTGCCTCTTTTGTGTTATCAGATGTGGATGAAGTATCATCCTTTGAGTTTGTATTCTGGAAGTCTGAGTTTAACATTTTTACATCTATGCTAATAATTTAGAAAATACAGTTTCATGCACATGTTATTTGAATTAAGAATTTATAGGTTGTTCAAACCATAACCTCAACCTCGGGTGACTTTAAGACCTAGGTAAGGAAAGTAAACCACAAGAATCAGAGGGCTGGGTGTGGGTGATGCAAATGAACCTCTCAGACCTGATTTCACAGAGTGGGAAGAACAAGGGCAACCAACTCTAGTTCCCTGCAACCCTGCTGCCAGATCTTTGCCTACACGAAATGAAGCTCAGTCCCTGAATTTTTATGGGAAAGAGTCAACTTTTAAAGGATTGTAACTATTTTGGTTATCATTGTGATCCACATAAAAACCTCGCTGCACAAAGGATACCACCACTATGCAAGCAGCAGCATAAATTAATGTGTGGTGGGTGTGCAGTTAGGAATTAAGTACTTTCTGAGTAGATTCTGCACATACAGAATTGTAGTACAAATGTTGGTTTTTCTCTCAGTGCTGGGGTGTAAATCTAGGGCTTCATGCATGCTAGGCAAGTAATCTTCCACTGAGCTATATCCTGAGCCCCAAACAGAATTTTAAAGGAGAAAATATTGAATATTTACTATGGATTATGTCAAATGATTAGAAATATCTTGTATGTAAAGATGTACTTTTTGGTTCATTCCCTCCAGCAACCGAAAAAGATAAAATAGATAGTGTGTGATGAAAGTTCTTAAAAATAGATTATGCCATATTTCCTCAAATCATGACAGGATACTTCAAAGGAATAAAAATGGCATATCTGAGCATACACTCATAATTCTATAACTGTTTCAGCATGTTAAATAGCATGATATATCAATTCAGTACTGGAGTTGGTCACCCAAGTTTATTCTAGACAACATATACACATCTAAAGCATTCAGATCAAATAAAGACTCTCTTAGAAAGTTATGTTTCTTTGCAACGGGCAGAGTTGATCTTATGAAAATCTACATTTAAGCTTTTATTTTTACGTGAAATTTTGTCTTTTAAAATCCCAGTTTAAATTTGCTAATGAGCCACTTTGTTCTCTCTGAATTATTTATATATTATAGGTAGTTCGAGAAGTACAAGAAAAGCCTCCCTATTAAAGATAATTTCCATAATCCTTCAAAAATTGAATTGTGGAAGATTTCCTGTGTTTCTTTAAAGAGTAAGAAAAGGGAAAGGGAAAGAACACAAGGTGGAGAATTCATGAATAGGTAATCACTCTCTACAGACAAAAAGCAATGTTCCAAGAAGCCCTAAGAAGTAACTAATTAATTTTCCAAATGAGCAAACATTATTTTGTGGTCCTGTAGACCTGGGAAGGAATCTAAAGATAGTGAATAACAACATGTTTCTAATTTTCAAAAGAAGATTAAAAAGACCCTTGGTGCTCATTGTTTAGCAACTTCAAATCCTATCAAAATAATAGAGCCTAAATTAGCACAAAAAAAAATAACCATTCTGGAAAATAAGAAAGCAAGGAGTAGTTTTTGTTTATGAAGAGTTGATTAGTCTGAATAAATTTGATGGTTTGTTGATGAAGTTAGAAAATGAATACCACCAACAGCTTTCTAGGTTCAATAATAAAACACTTGATAAATGCCCACGATTCTCCCCACTATACTAATTTGAGATGACTTCAATAACAAAAGTTGACTGAAGGCTTTCAAATGAAGAAAAAACAGTCTTAGATCATTTAAGGAACAAAAGTATAAATAGGCAAAAGCTGTAGGAATTTGAGGTGAGACCAACTGAGGCCCAGTGACTGTGCAGGAATGAGGGCAGCCCAGAGAAGTGATTAAAATGTGCCCATCACCTGAATCTGACATTACAGCTAATGTAAAAAGATGCATAGCATGGAAAAATGCAGTAAGATTTTGAAAAGTAAGGGAAGAAAAAGAAAAACTTGATGTGGATATTAAAATTTGTGAGAAATGTAAAGAGAGGTAATCATGTTTCAGGAATCTTAAGCATGGAATGCTACAAAAACAGGAAGGGTAGGTCCTAGAAGGAATCTTCCAGCAAGGCATAGCAGCACAATAGAGCAGTAGAAAGAGTTGTTGCCTAATAAAAATATTATTACTGCACTTGAAGTGCCAAAACGAAAACCACAAAAATGGCAACACACAATCTTATTTTAATAAAATTGTGAATTCATTTGTCTGTTTTAGTTTTTGAGGCAGAATTTTTGTAGTCCAGGTTGGCTCAAACTCACAATCTTCCTGCCTTAGCTCCCAAGTGCTAGTGCTATGATTAAAGACACACCCCACCCTGCTAGACTCAATCAGAACTTTATTTAATCCATAACCCTTGGTTGTACATGTGTGGTGGTTTGAATGAGTATGTCCCCCATAAGCTCCAAGAATTTGAACATTTTAATCTTCATTTGGCAGTGCTGATTTGGGAGACTTTAGGAGATGTGGCCTTGCTGGAGGAAGTGCACTACTGGGAGCAGTCTGTGAGAGTTCTTAAGCCTTAAGCTGGATTTCTTGAGGCTCTCTGCTTCCTGTGCCTGCTTGAAGACAGTGAGTACTCCACTTTCACCTCTGGCCACCTCCTTCCATCAATCCCCCGCCACCACCACCACCACTATCACCATGATAACTCTGATTCATCTGGAACTGTAAGCTAAGTAAACTCTTCTCTCTATAACTTCCTTTGGTCAGTGTTTCTATCACAGTAACAGAAAAGATAACTAAGATAACATGACTATTCTCTCCTGGTTATACCCCTGCCCACATAAGAAGTCAACAGGAAAATTCGATCCTAAGTAGTCTAAACAACATGCACAGGTCCAGCAGTCCTTTCTAGGGCTGCTTCTAGCATGTTCTGTTCCTCCAGCCCAGCATGACAGCAAGGTTTTCCTTGACCTTATGATCTATGGATCCAAAAGAGTACCTCTAAATGGAGGATCCCAATCCTGTGTTGGGTAGTTTGGGTACTTTTAATCACCTATATACATCTTAGTTTATAGCTATGATTCCTTGGAATGGGAGTATTCTAGTTTTTGCAAGACAACATCTTCAAAGAGAGAGTGGGGGTCTGTGGAACATCTTAAGTATGTTATTGCTATCCCTATAACAGAAAATAAATAGAAAGAACTCAAATATATTGATGCTTTTCATGGATGGTACTCGGTCAGTTATTTTCTCAAGCCCACAAACTTAGGTACATACAAGAAGGTTTGGGGGACATGTTGAAAAGAGATCTGTTGGCCACTACAATACTATCAAAAAGCATGATCCCTTGAGCTGTAGGTGCTCTACGTACAGTCTTCCCTTTAGCATCTCTTTGAAACTATATACTTTGGGATCTAAAGGGTGGCTAATCTGTCTCTTTTTATAGATGAAAATATACAGGCTTGGAGAGCCGGTGGTTTGGCTCAAGTTGCTACATTGCCGGTGACAGCAGAGCTTGTGGTAGTTTCTGGGTCAGTCCTCGGAACACTTTGCCACTCTCTCTCGCCTGTTTGCTTTCTTCATCTAAATCACCACTGGCATTCTAAAAAGAGTTTGGGCAATAATGCTCTAAAAGCACAAATGTGTACACACTTGAATGGGTACTTGCATTTCAAATATCAATCAAATATTTCAATGCATTTCCTCCACTGACTTGGTGCAAGGCTGTGCATTAAAAATTTAACATTTGTATCATAAAAAAATCTGTTTTCAACAGGCACACGCCTTTAATTCCAGCACTCAGGAGGCAGAGGCAGGCAGATGTCTGTGAGAGTGAGGCCACCCTGGTCTACATAATGAGTTCCAGGCCAGCTGTATTTACAGGGAGACACTGTCTCAAAAAAAAATCTGTTTTCATTTGTTATGCTGGTCTGACAATATTGTGATAGATTATATACTATGTAAACCACTAAAGACAACTAACTTCAATCAGTCACACAGATTTTATTCAGACTGTTTTTGATTTTATAACATTTATTATATCCAAAATGTAGACATGTACCTTAGTCCATTTTCTGTTACTCTAACAAACTATATGGGACTCAGGGATTTATAAGACTCCAGTGGATGAAGTAGCACTGAGGGACACCTGGATAGAAATGCTCAACAGGAAAGGACTTAACATATATGACAGAATGCCTGGAATCTGGTAGGGATGGGTCTAAATTTCATTAAGATATAATATATGAAATGCACAAAAACTCAATAAAAGTATTAAAAATGGAAAAAAAATCCTTTCAAATTTTAAAACAAAAATAAAGTTTTCTTCAGGTCACAGTTTGGGATGTTGGGAAGTCCAAGAGCATGGTGTTGGTATCTGCTAAGGGCAGCATCATATGGCAAGATAATGAAAGTAAGCTGGGGAAAGCTCACTTCTTTACAAAGCCACTCCCACTGTAAGTCATTAATCCTTAATCTATGAATGGAGTATTCCATTCATGCGGGCAGAATCCTCATGATCCAGTTCCATCTCAGAAGCCACATATTCCAACACCATCACCATGGGAATCAAATTCCAGCATACATAATTCAACATGCACTGCCATTTCATCTTTAAAATGTATTTAGGAAATGAATACTGCTCTTCAGTTCCAGAAAAAATTAATAAATACCTCTAAATAGTTGGTAATTTCATGTTCGTTTTCAGGAATATTTAGTTGCATTAGCAGTGCTATTTCCTGACACTCATAATCTTCTAAATTGACTTATTTGATGCTCCTCAGATCTCTTTCTCTAAAGGCTTAGATTTGTGTCTCTGTTGCTGCTTTTGAAATGCTCCCCAGCATTGTGAATCTATCTAATGTAATTTTCACATTTAATGTCATTTTACTCATATGACAATACAGAGCAGAAGGAACCATGTGACATTGCTTCATATGAAGCTGAGACTTTGACTCAAAATATGGATGAACTACAAGGAAGTGGGGGGGAAGTTCTGGATCAAGAAACCTTGTGTTATAGTCAGGCAGATGGTCAGTGTGGAGCAAGGTACAGATAAAGGACAAAAAAAAAAAAGTAAAAAGAAAAAGAAAACATTCTTGACAGAAATGAGCTGATGTGTGCAGCAGCAAATGGAGGCTCCCAGGGCTGTTCTGTCCCTTTCATTAATAATTTTCCAAAGACTTGTTTCCACTTTGGAAACCTCTATGCCACCTTCTCAGTGTCTTGCTTTGTTTTCTTTAAGGAATGTAAAAATTACTAACAATGTGATGTATGGAAGACTCATGGTTTAATGAAAACCATCTTCAGTGCTCACACTTTTATTTGGCTATGGTTGGAAGGGCTTGGGGTAGGGGGGTTGAGACCAACTATGTCATTAATCAGATCTTCTCTGAAGACAGTGTGCCCTGTACCACTAAAATTGTGTTCATTTCCAATTGTGTGTTTGTGTAGATTGTGATTTCATGTTAAAATAAAAAGGGAGATATTTGTGTGTGTGTGTGTGTCTGTGTTTCTCTGTGTTTGTGGTGTCCATGTTATGGATTCATAATTTCTTCTCTTTCTCCATGTTATGGATTCATAATTTCTTCTCTTTCTAGCTCTGTATCTTCTCTCTTACTGAGCTATGAGAGGATCCTTAACTTTTCTGCTAACTGGTAAACAATGTAAATATACTCCATAACTCAACAATATTTGAATTCCTTTAAGCAATGTTCTCATTGCCTTGCAGCAGAGGGCATCTACTTCCTCCCACTCTCCCAGAAGTCAGAAGGGGAAGTCAATCCCCAGCAGTTAACAGGGCCTGGATAACTTAGAAGTTCCCTCCTCCCCCTCCCCTGCCACTTAGCATTAATTATCCTGCAGCCAAGGATTATCCTGCTGGCAAGGACACTCAACAGGAATCCTGACCTGGTGCCTAGGATGGTGACTTCACCTTCCCAAACTCGCACCCTCTCTGTCTTTGCTCAGAAACAAGCCTGGGTCTGAGAATGTGCCTCCCAGTGTGAGCATCAGGGCGTCCTCCCCAGGCAGTCTGCGGGAACAAGTACGATGTGGACTCCTGAGGAGTCTCCTCTAATGGCCATCTCAGGTGGGTCTCCTGTGACTACCAGACGCTTAGTTCCTGACATGGTCAGACCTTAAGGGTAAAAGAAGGGGATCTCTCTCCTGCCACCATGGGTCACCCCTAGAAGGTTGCTCTTGCCAATCCTCCCAGCCTGTGATTTGGCCAAAGTAGAGGGTTGGGAGAAGGAGTAAAATGTCCTTTGTTATTGGCAGAAAGAAGCAGAGAGAAGAGAGGAAAGAGAGGAGAGCACAGAAGGGGAGGAAAGGGAAGGGGAGGGGAGGGGAGAAGAGGGGAGAGGCGGGGAGAGGAGGGGAGAGGAGGGAGGAGGAGGGAAGGGAAGGGGGAAGGGGAGGGGAGAGAAGAGTGGAGAGAAGAGAGAAGGAAGAGAGAGAAGGGAAGAAAAAGAAGAGAAGAGAGATGAAAGGAGAGTTGTTTTGCAGTGAAGATCAGCAGGCAAGAGCAACAGGGAGCGGCCGGTGCCCCTGCTCCTCTCCTGGCCTCCGACGGAGGCACGCACCGTAATTCCCTTCCCGGAGCCTTACAAATTTCCACAAACAATGACATCACCGGGCGCCGGCTGCGGGTGGCAGCGGGGGGATCTTCCTGGGCGCGGGGCTGCCGGGCGGAGCGAAGCAGCTCCGGGCATGGGGCTGGAGGGGGCGGGG